ATGTGCATTATTTACAGTTTTTTTACACCCAAATGTGCATTATTTACGGGTTTTACACCCAAATGTGCATTATTTACGGTTTTTACACTAGAATTTGCATTATTTACAGTTTTTTACACCCAAATGTGCACTGTTTACAGTTTATTAGGGGGTCCACGGCCAGCGGCAAGGCCCACCTATTACTATCCAAAATACTTATTCCGTAACTTATCGTTCTCCCGTTTCCGTTTGATTTTTGGCGCGTAACTTGTCGCGCACGGTTCCGCGGATCTTTCTGACAAGGCAGCGCGGTGGCTCTCTGCAGAGCTCTGTGAGCTGTGGTTCTGGTTCCAGGCGGGCAAATCCCGCTTAGAAAGATTTAAGTAATACAGTGATTCTGGTACAAGGCGGGCGAAGCCCGCTCTCATTGATTTTTTAAGAAATACATTATTTCTGTTACCAGGCGGGCGAAGCCCGCTTAGAGGGCTTTAGTCAGAGCCCAGTTCTGGTTCTGGTTCTAGGGATAGGACCCAACCGGGTCAGAACCGGACCGGGGCCATGTCATACCTCGTTGCGTAGGTCTTTTTCTCAGCTTTCAGCCAATGTGACCCCCGACCTGCCCGCCCCATCCGCATTCGGTCAGCGGGCCCCAGAGCTCAGCCGGGTCCCTCCATCACCTCAGGCCCTCTCATAGGCGCGAGCCCACATTACAGAGAGCCCAAATATGGATTGGCCGACCCGCCCCGGGTTCCCGGACGGGCAGCGGGTGGCCCCCCTCAAAATTTCTTCAGAAATTTTCTAGTTTACCTTAAAATGTGCATGATTTACATTTTTTACACTAAAATGTGCAATGTTTACTGTTATTTACACTAAAATGTAGATTATTTACAGTTTTTAAACTAAAATGTGCATTATTTGCTGTTTTTTACACTAAAATTTGCATTATTTACTGTTTTTTAAGCTAAAATGTGCATTATTTACTGTTTATTTACCCTAAAATATAGATTATTTAGAGTTTTTTACACTGAAATGTGCATTGTTTACAGTTTATACACTAAAATGTGCATTATTTGCTGTTTTTTTACACTAAAATTTGCATTATATACTGTTTTTTACCCTAAAATGTGCATTATTTACAGTTTATTTACCCTAAAGTGTAGATTATTTACATTTTTTACACTGAAATGTGCATTATTTACATTTTTTCACTAAAATATTCAATATTTACAGTTTCTTAGCCTATAATGTGCATTATTTACAGTTTCTTACCCTATCATGTGCATTATTTACAGTTTACAGGGATCATTCATAAAACGGATCAAAGAGACACTTTAATGTATTAGAAATCCTTTTATTGTCCTCTAAGGTCTGGTCTGTTTCTTATGCTTGTAACACAAAAAGTGAATAATGATCCCTGTATGCTGAATTATTCCATCTCAATGAAGCTATTCCAGCTCCTGAACTCATGTTTCTGTAATATCTGCTATAATAAAGCTCATTTAGTGGAAATCTGAGCTGGTTCTGGAGGAGAAAAGCAGGAATTGAGATTCTGAACATTCGATTACAGAGGTTCTGATTTATTTTTAGGTCTTTTTGTAATTTTTTGATTCCCAAATACATTTTTAAAAGCACAAACTCATAGTTTAAATTTGAGATAGTCTGATTTCTTTTAATTTCTTTTAATTATTTGACTTATTTCTCGCTTTGAGGGGTCAGAACATTTGGTTTTCTTTCTATTTTCAGCTCAAATTGGTAAAGTCTGATTCTGCAAGTTGATTTCTGGCAAATTAAAAAGAAAAAACAGGTAATTTAACACTTCCTGACCAGTCTGAATCCCGGATTTCCTTATTTATTCTGGCAGATGAGGTCCCTGGATTCCAGCCTGTGTCCTGTTGGTCAAACCGACCAAACTGAGATTCCTTCTTTCCCACCGGGTTTTTTTCAGTTTTCTTGTGATTATCTTTTTATTTCCAAGTCTTATTGGTTTGTAGTTGTACATTTTTGGACCTTATTTGTCATGAGCCTCCCCTGAACTGTAAAATAAAATAAAATACTTCCCTTTTAACCTTTGTTTTCTCAATCCTGTCTCACTCTTGTCAATTCCTGCTTTAGTTTGAAATACCAACTCTTGTTTTATTTTAAACTAGTAACTCCTGCTTTAGTTTGAATACCAACTCTTGTTTTATTTTAAACTAGTAACTCCTGCTTTAGTTTGAAATACCAACTCTTGTTTTATTTTAAACTAGTAACTCCTGCTTTGGTTTGAGTGCCAGACAGACTCAGATGCAGAGGTTAGCAGATTCCAGGTCTTTATTAAACAAAATGTCACACTCTGGTGGAGTGGAGATGCAAAGCGATAAACTAATAATCTCTCAAACGAGGTAGAACAAAAGGATGTGAGGATAGAAAACGCTCAGAGCTGTTCCAACTGGCTCATATAGGGAAAAGAAACATAAACCAGAAGCTCTGGGTAATAAGAATATAATTTATTAAACAAAGAA